TCCGGACTAGGACCGTTCGGGTCGAGTTCGTGGGTACGAGCCGTTAGAGACCTTCGCATTTACGGGGTTCGGGTTTTGAAGTAAGAGCTCGGGATCGAGCGAAGCATGCGCCAAGGGTATGAATGTCTTTTCCTTCTCTCTCTTATTTGTTGTTTATTACGTGATTGCATGCTTAGTTGCGTTAATTAGTAGGCGGGTCTTGGGCGGGTTTCTATTCCGCGTAGACTCTGACTATACGAAACCCAACAGTAAACCAGTCGTCCCTCTTGGCGTTCATCCGCACCATAGAGTGCATCTTGCAAAAGACGGGAAAGTTGGGGACGAAGCCATTCCTGAGGCAAGTTACCAAGTAACCAAAATTGTTCGCCCATATGTTCGGCACCAGCTGAAAGAGGGTAATGTCATACTCGTACAGCAGCTCCTGGACGAACGGGTACAAGGGAAAACGGAGTCCCAACTCCAAGGCAGTGTGGTAAACACTAAAGCTCTTTTTCTTGGGCTTCTCCACCTCCTAGGCGGCCACCGAGTTAGAACGCCTTGGTGGCTAAATGGAGAAGCCCTCACCCAACATTCCTCGAAGTTAGAATGGAGAAAGTCGAGAGCAATGTCACCGACAGGGCAGGCATATGGGTCATTAAAGTTGACCGCCTCAATATTAACATTGGCCCCCTCGGCCGCCTGATGAGCATTCGGATGCTCGGCCTCAGCAACTTGCTCGACATTCTGTGGCTCGGCGTTCCTAATTGAGCCAAACTTGGACGGTAAAACAGTGTCGAGCTACCTTTTTTGGAGCCTTGACCAGGCTTCGCTAGTACAATACCTTCTGGCACCAAGGGTCCTTTCCCCTTTTCTCTTCTTCTTGCTTCAGAGTCCACTTGAATTCCCAAATGAGGATCGTGATGAGAAGGGTGCTAGACCGCAGCTGTCAAACTAGTGGGAAGGGAAGACCCTCCATCAACGTTTTGGGCGGGTGCATTAGCAGCGATGTCCGACCAAATGTTGGAAGATGGCCTGTGAAATGTTGACAGCTCGGCCAGCCTCTCCGAGCTGGTGTGTTAGGTTGGGCGATGTATGGGATTTTGGGCAGCCACTCTCTCTCTACTAGCCTTAGAGTCCGCCTGAATTGTCAAAAAAGGCCTTTGTGAAGAATGGAGCTCGGTCAGCCTGTCCGAGCTGGTACGTTGAGAAGAGCGCTGTCTAGGATTTTGGACGACTACTCTGACCTCCCCCTCCTGACTAGACTCTTTAGCCGAGGGTAGGGAAGAAAGATTTCTATGGATGTAGGGATGCTCGGATGAGGAAGCAGTCACCTCTACCACTGAGCAGGCACTACTGCTCACCTCTATGATCATCAGGACGCAGAGGAATAGGTGGATTCACCGGACGACCGTCTACGTTCCTGGCCGGATTTCGATAGTACGTCACTCTTGTACGCGTTATGTCCGACTGTAGGAACAGAGAAGAATTGGTGGGGTGAGTTAAAGTGCACTGAAAATGGAGCCGCTCCAAAGTGAAGAGGAGTCAGCCCCATCCACTCTAGACTCCTCAGCCCCAAGCAAACGACCGATCTCATGAGAAGAGATGGACGAATCCGATTTATTTGCCAATTCGTGTTTGAAAAATAAAACAAGTATACGTATAATAAAAGAAATGGAAGAAGTAAAGAAAAACAAGCGGTTACCTTTGTCCGAGTAAAATACTTAAGAAATTTGTGGTTTGAAGATCTTAAGTGGTCAAATCACCAACACCAAGGGGTTGACCGGAAAACTCAAGAGAACGAACGGGAACTTCAACTACTCGGCGGAGCTCATGAAGATCAAGGACAAAATACACTTTCTCTCTCTAGAAGCTCTGACTTCTCACTAGAAAACACAAAAATCCAAAGTGATTTTATGAAGTCAAACAAGTTCTATTTATAGGCAAATAAATAGGAGCAAAATGGTAAAACCATATTTTCCGCCCAAAAGGCCAAACGACACTTTTTAAATCATTTACCCTAAAAGTTCAAACGGTTATTAAACCGTTCCGTGAATAAAGGCAAGGAATTCGAACCGTTATATAAACGGTCCATCAAAAGAAACGGCCAAATCAGCGAATTTAAACCGCTTGGTCCGAAAACTGAGGGAGACAGGTGTCTCGCCTAATATCACGTAGCACACCAAGTCTAACTGACCTCAAGCTTATGCTCTACTAAACATAGGGCGGATAGACAAAGGCAACCAGCCTAAAATAAAAGGAGCTTCCCAAAACCAAACGGACAGTATATTCCACCTAGCCTAAATTATTAAAAATGGCCCATCAAGCGCTCGAAATAGCGACGTACGAACAATATTTCAGAGGAGGCGGCACATGTTTTACGAGCCACCCCCTCTGAGGGGCAAATGCTTAGGGTAAAAATACCTCACCACGTGGTCCAATTTTATGGTGACACTTGGCCCAATAAATGGGCGACATGTGTCCCCATAGGGAAAGAACATGTGGCAACATATATACCACCTAAATGATGAAAAGGCCTCTATTACATCAGGAGGCCCAGTTCCCGAGAGATACGCCATAATGACGCCCTTAAGGACACGTGTCTTCACCTGATTGCGCTGCTAATCAGTGCTCCCCATTCTAGGTCATCAAAATCTAGGAAGGCACACATTCCCACCCCTTTAAATACCTCAATCATTAATGATGAGGATGGGTGGATAAAGACATATCATTCAAGCTATATTAAATTGCTCCAACTTCTCTCTACTTTCTCTCTCTAAAACCCTTTGTTTTCCAGTTACTAACTTGACCGTCGGAGGCGAATATTCCAATACGAAATATTAGTTGTTTTGCAGTTGTCTATGGTCGTCCGAGCGCATTGAAGATTTGTATCCCGAGTGAATCCCAAAAAACCCTGAAACAATTACTTCACGTATGAACATTCAATTGAGTCAAACTAATTTATAACATTTTACCAAAATAAAACTTTTTCATAATTTACCTTCGATAATTAAAATAAATTGGCCCTTAAAAAATATGTTATAAAGGAAAAATTTACAGAAATAATCCCACCTTTTAGCCATCTTCTCATAGTGGTCCAACTTTTTTATGAACTCAATAAAATCCCACCTTTAACACTTATCTTCTTAAAATAGACCCTTATGATATATGACTTGATATAGCATGTAAAAAAGATGACGTGGCAGTAAAAAAGAATTCTAAAGTAGGATAGAAGGGAAAAAGATCCAACGTAGACTTTAAAGATCTCTCTCTTTCTGATTCTCTTCTTCTCCTTCCTTCTCCTTTCACCATCCTCTCCTCTTTGGTTACTTTTGCTAAAAAGATATTGGAAGCAGAGGATGGAGTTGCTCGTGATGGCGTGAGAAAATAAAGACATTCATGGGCTCCTACATTGATTTATTTTGGATTATTGCTGAATATTTATAGTTTAATGAACTAAGTAAATAAGATAAAATTGTAAATAACAAAATTTATACAATAGTGTATCATCCAACAAATTAAAATTGGTTTTATAGGCCATCCTTGAATGCTTCAATTGTTGGGTAATGTGGTAACCTATGAAGTTTGGACCAACGTTTCACAAATGCAATTTCATGGTTTGCTAGTTGGTGCTAATTTACAAAGAATCAAAGTTGATAAGGGCCCTTTATTTTATTTTTATTTTTTTTTTCTTGAGAAGAAAAGGAGTGGTTGTTGCTATTAAAGTTTTGATGGTAGCCATTAGTATATTTACATATACATGGACTCATGGTCTTTTCTATTTTATGGAGAGAGAGAGATAGAGATGAACAGGAAGAAGGTGAAGAAGAGAAAAGGAATAGGGGTCCAAGTAGGCGTCACTCGCCACGCGGATTTTTATGTTTTTTTTTAACTGCCAAGTAGGACTTTTTACTTGTTATAATCATTCATGTTTTATTAAGGTCCATTTTAAGAAGATAGACACAAAATGTGGGATTATTAGGAGTTAATTGAAAGTTCGGACTAAAATGAGAAGATTGTTAAAAGGTAGGATTATTTTTGTCAAATTTTCCTATTATAAATACTTATTTTATTTACAAGAAGCATAAAAAATATAGGGTATAACAGAGAAAAAGTGATCGGGGTGGGGACAGTTAGCGGTCAGATTAGAGAAGAGAGAGCGGTGATGGGTTTGGCCAACGACTAGGGAGGGAAGAGGGGTGGGTTTTTCAGCCAGGAAGGGGTGGGTTTATTGCCGGCTATTCAGGGAGGGAAAAGTGAAAGGGGCTAGGGTAGGGAGGGAGAAAGAGAGAGAGAGAGAGAAAGAGAAAGGGGTCAGAGTGGATTTGGCCGGCATTTAGGGAGGAGGAGTTTGGTCGGCGGTGGGGAGGGGGCGGGGGGTTGGTCGATGGTGGCGGAAAGAGAGGGAGAGATTGGTGACTGTGGGGGAGAGATAGAGGAGTCGATGTTGAGGGAAGGGGTCAGTAATAGGGGATTAGTCAGGTTTGGTTTGCAGTGGCCAGCGGGTAGGGGTGTTAATGAATAGAGCCTTTCATGAACTGTTCGAGACTCGCCTAACCTACCTAGGCTCGATCTCGGCTTATTAACACCCCTACCAGCAAGGGCAAAGGGTTTTTTTTTTAGAAAAAAAAAATTATTAATTGTTTATAATAAAAATTTTAGTGTTGAACATATTATGACATGTGGCATAATTAACCCAAACATCTGGTTACCCTCTAAAACCAACACATTATGACTCTTGGAGAAAATACCCTAAAAAAATCAACTTATTCTTAGTTAATCAAAAAGTTGACTTATAAATGACAAATAATCCTTAATTAAATAATTTGTTTGATGCCTTTAGATATATCAATGATAATTACGAACGCAGGTTTTGGCATTTATAAAATGGAAGAAAGATATGTCAAAGAAAAAAAGAAAGCAAAAAAGGGAAAAAATCATTTGCCTTTTTTTGTGAGCACAATTGCTTTGACGAATCTTCTAAATAAAGAATATTGCATGGACAATTTTTCTGGGTCGCTAGATTTTACGAAAATGCAACTTCTATTGCATGAATATAACTTCATTACGTCACTTCACCATGTCCAAGATCTTTACAAAATTGTGAATCAAAAGCATTTACATTGAAGCTTCTATTATGTATAGTTGCCATAGTACTCGGATGCCTTATAATTTTAGGTTCATTCTGCTGACAAATACAACAATTTACGAGGAAATAGACCGGAACCCAGAAGACAGCACCAATGATCACCGGAATTCTTATTCTGAAAGGAACCACAGTTGAGATATAACAAAGAATATTACCTGCAGCCACAACACCAACCAGTGTCATCAACAGTCAAATGGTGGTCTCCCAAAAGCACAAGATTATATCATTCCCACTAAGTTACAGTCATCATTCATCAGAGTTAAACAATTCAAAAAGCATTAAATGAAAAATAGGGCACCAAAACAAACTGCATTACAATCAATTAAAAATCAAAAAGCCTAATTAATTTTTGGTGTTTTGGATGCCATAATGCGCAACATAAAATCTTATTCTAGTGTCCATGGTAATGGAGCAACATCTCCAAAGTAGATGTGAAAAGGAGATATCTAACCATGGACATTGGATTTCCTATAAAAGAAAAAATAAAAATAAAAAAAAACCATGGACATTGGAATAATACTTTCAAAAGTACCACCATTTACTACTGCATATCAAGCAGGTCATAATTTCTTAGTCTATTTTAATTTATCAATCTTGTATTACAGCCACAATTCCCAATTTCATATTAAATATGGAGGGGGGTGTTGGAAACAGCACTACTGCTAAACAAACCCACACTTGTCATAATAGCCAAACCCAAACAACATATAATATGTTAAGAACATTAAGAAACGAAAAAATATAAATATGTTAAGAATATCAAGAAACAGAGAAAAACGGAATTAATAAAGAACATCATGATATAGAGGTAGAATAGTATTAAGAGATGTTTAGGTATAACTAACACAACGTTCAAAATAATTGGATACCTTAAAAAGCAGAACAATTTACCATCCTTTTAAAGTTATGATTAATGGAGTCATCTAATGCAAAAGTCTTGGCCAATAGCTATTAAAATATACTATTAAGCGTCTTTTTTCCTAATTGTGTGTGCCTATTTCCTAAATTAAAAAATAACTTTAGACCATTACACCCTTATTTCCCTTTTTATTTCTCATTATATCCTAAGATTCCCACCAACTAATCATATGTGTCATTAATGCTTGTACTTGCACAAATGAAATAAACAAACAAAAAAAAAATGAGATGTATGACAATAATGTCTTTTTAAGATTTATTCAATTTTACCCAATTGTCTTAATTCCCGTGAAATATTATAAACAAGCACTAAATTTTGGGACCGAGGGAGCATATTTTAAAATTTAGAGGCATAATTAAAAAATTGCACCACCCAACTTGTTTAAAACAGCCCTGTTTGTATTAACATGTATATTCCATTTATATCTAGTTTTCATATTCATTTATACATACAGAATTAAAAAAATTCAGCAATAATAACCAAATGAAATTAGAAATATATGGTACAAGTTGAATTTTTCTACCCATTATGCAAATAATTTGCAGTACATACATCTCTAATATCCAGTGAATACATTCTTACATTTGAGACTATTACACACAACAAAAAACATAATTAACCCTTTCACCCTCCTATGTGTTAGTTTATTTAGTATCTTCAAAAACAATCCTAAGAGCTTTTCTAAACAATAATGTATATCCAACAGTTTTCCTAGAAGAGTCTTACACTTGAGACTATTACACAACAAACAACATTATTAACCCTTTCACCCTCCTATATGTTAATTATTTAGTATCTTCAAAAACAATCTGAAGAGCTGTTCTAAACAGTAACGTATATCCAACAGTTTTCCCAGAACTAGCCTCTAAACTTAGCAAAAAAAACCTCTACAAACTACTCTATATCAGCCATAATTCTTGAAAAAAAATATTGCTTCAGGGCTCTCCTATTATTCAAAAAGTAAAAATACTGGAATAAAATTAAGTAAAAAAAATATATATTTTTTTAAATAAAAAAAAGTACAAAATATATAATTTCATTTAGGTATTTTAGGAAATTTTAAGCACTTTGTAGTATGGTAGACAGAATTGTTTTAGGAGCAGTGCTGTAACACTATAGTTTGTTTTTAAGAAAAACGTACAAAATATATAATTTCATTAAGGAATTTTAGGAAACTTGAGGCACTTTGTAGTATGGTAGACAGAATTGTTTTAGGAGCAGTGCTGTAACACTATAGTTTAAAGATCTCTTTTTTATGTTCCTCAATATAAAAACCTGGTCTATTTTTATCAGTAAGCATAGAATTCAGATAAATACATTTCTTGAACATTTTCATAAGATAACATTCCATATCCAAGGAAAAATTTGGGTAATGAATATATTTCAGTCTTCTAGATTAAGCTCCTGATATATATCCACTTCACAATAAGTCAACTACTCAAAATGGTCAGTATTTAAAGCTATGGACTTGATTAAGAATGGTCAGTTTTCCATTAAAGAAACTTATAAGAAGATCGGAGGTTCTTTCCCAACCCATGGTTCAGAATTCTTAGTCTCAATAAAGCCACTCCAAGGATTAAATTTATTGCTTGGTTGGCACTGTAGAGAAGGTTCGTGACTCATGATAAATATCTGCAATGGAAAATTGCTACAAGCAATATTTGTGGCCTTTGTGGTTCTGTTCCAGGATCTGTTGAGCACCTATTTTTCAATTGTTCCTATTCTGCTGCTTGGTCTCAGGTTCTGATTATGCTGAAGTTTCATAGACCTGTAGCTGGTTTTGATAAGGAAAATGCTTGACCAATGAAGTCTGGGAAGAAAAGTAGAGACAAGCATAGGTTGTATTTGATTTTTTGTAGAATCAATTTATCAAATCTGGATTCAGAGGAACAAAAGGTTTTCAAAGATACATGTGAAACCTCAGCTGCTGTTTTTCATAGAATTTGTTTAATGGTTGCTTATAGATCTAATGACTGTCAGAAGAAGCTAATCTGTATTTAGCTGTTTTGTTTGCATATAATTACTTTTATCTTCCTAGAAGGTAGGAGATTATTAGTGCTGATGCTTCAGTGTTTCTTTGTGGTATTTTTGTAAATGAAGTTAGGTTGTAATTGTTCTATCTTGGTAAGAAAAATTCTCTGTTTAATTTGCCAAAAAAAAGGATAAATAAATAAAACTTATCAAAATTAAGTACCAAAAATACCCCAAAATCAGAAGCACAATAACTCAGGTAATGGACAAAACACTCAATTGCAGAGAACACAAAAGCAATTTAGCAACACACCTGGGACTCCACAAGTGACATAATGCACACTCAATCTCTGAGACCCAGTTCCACCTCAAGCTCATCATCTTCTTCAAACAACTTTAGAAGACGGGCATATTGTTCCTCTCGTTTCTTTTTCTGCCATAGCTTGAAGAGGAAAAAAGAAAAAAGCACCACAGCTGCAACAACAATGCATATGATAGCCACCTTGGTCCCAGTACCACTATTGTGAGTTTTAATCGCACCATCCTTGCTATCATTTTTGGAGCTTGGCTTGTCATTTGATAAACCTAATAAAAAGGAAGTCAATAAATAAAGAAAAGCAAAAGGGAAATGCATGTGTCCCTCAAAAAAAAATTTGTTGTCGACCAGGTGGAGGAAGTGATAAAACAAGCACATGTGATTATGCTGCCATGTGGAAAAACTTGAAGGAAAGTATAGTAATAACTAGCTGAGCTTTTTTAATAATTTTAAGCCAGAAAATATCCAGTTACATTAAATCACAAATATTTTGTGATTTTAAAGGTTACAAACTCTAATATTAATATATTTTACCTTTTTACTATTCCCAAAGAGGGTATGAAACATCCAAATTTCCAAGCATCCATAAAACAATTAAAACAATATGAATAAAATTTTCTCAAATTAATAAACATGGCACTCATGCCAGCAAACACAGCACGGAAAAAGTGAAATCCGCGATGAAAGAATTAAAACCTTGTTAAATTCATTCTCTGGTTTCTACAGTAAAATAAAACAAGTGTCAAGACCCTATAATCAATTTCAAAAATGACTGAAATATATATATTTATATATATTTTTCCCCAGATTGAAAGATACTGCTTAACAGCTTAAGTTTATACCTAAGGGAGAAACTGCAGGAGGAAGTGAAAATAGGATTTAGTCTTGTGTTACACTAAATACAACCAAAACCTACAGCCTGAAATGCAATGACATGTAGAGACAAGCTCAGAATACCTTGCACCATGCAATAGCCACCACAGTTACGTGGTACTATTCTTAGCTCACAAAATACCAGCATTTACTTCCATCAACCACCACCCATCTAAGTCCACAAAAAACCTAATGTATCTTGGCAACAAATTGCTAGTTCTTGATCTGCTCCATAGTAGTAGAAAGAGAAAACCGCTTTGACAAGTTGGGTGTAAAATGAAAAGTCAAGTCAAAGTTACTAAAAAAAATAAAAAAAAAAATAAAAAAAAACCTCTGCCAGCCAAATGCTTTATGAAAATTAACAAAGAACAAGGAAATAAAAGGCTAACAGACATTGATTCAATGAATAGGAAAAATAAAAGGTGAACTCTTAACCAGCTTCTTAAAATTAGATGGAAAGATTCATACCTATACCATTCCAAATTCTATCCAATGTGCAGTTACTAAAGAGCTTGTCGTTAAAAACTGTACTCCGCACTATTTAGCAAGTGCAAGGTTGGCTTTCACACAAGATCCTAGACCGTTTTTGCCTTTATTTTAAGAAATATAGGCAATGAATTCCCCTCATAGCTCCAAGTTCAACTCTACAAGGGTATGATATCAATCTTCAAGACCCGCCCCCACTGAACTCCGCCTCCCTCTTTCCCACCAGAAAAAGATAAAAGAAAAAAAAAAAAAAATAGAGAGAGAGAAAAGTAGGTCACTTCATATAATCATATCTCACCAAGTTGCTCATTTGCACATGTTAAAAGACTATTAAACTAGATGAAAGATAGCTAGGCCTGGGAAACATCATAGTTCTGAATATGTCAAATGAGAAACTATTTTGTACTTCCAAATATTAATTTCCGCAATACTAGTAAGGAAACAGTTGGCCTAAAGGCCATAACTCTAAGTGCAATTCATGGAAAAATTTAATGGTTCAAGCTGCTCAACACCCTCAACCCAAGTCCCCAACTTCCTAGAAATGCCAATGCAATGCACATATGTGCATACATTAATAATGAGATTAATGACAACAATGGTTTTTGAGCTAGCCTAGGCATGGAGAAGCTGACATGAACCACAGCAATAAAGAGATTAAAGGCAGCAATGGTTTTTGAATAATTAAAATACAATATAGCAGCTTGTAAGAGTTTTCCCATTATCTCAACAAAAACAACATCCTAAAGCCCATTTACAAACTATTAAATATTTAATTAGCATGCTAGTAACACAAAAATACTAACTATCCTTTAAACTATTCTTATTATTGCCAAAATTCACATCTGTATTGACATGAAATTAACACCAAATCACAATCAAATTGTTTAGAAACTATAATGACCTAAAAAATGCCAAATTTATTGAGTGCCTATACAATTGGCATTTATAATATCTAGTTAAAGCAATTTTTATGTATGCGTGTCCTCCAAGAGTGTACCACGCTCCAGTTGACAATAAGAGGATGCTTGGATTCTCTAAAATATTAATAGGTAAAATTTAAAGGGGTCGTGAAAATGTGTGTGTGTGTGTGTGGAAAAAAAACAACTCTATTCTGTAAAATACTTTGCAAACCATGGTAATAAAATTCCAATTGAGATTTGTGATATAGACATGGAGAGAAAAATACCAATTTTACAATTAAAATATCTACAATTCTACATGATAAGCAAAATCCAACCTTGAGGTGATTGAATTAGCAATGGAGATTTTCTAAGCAAAATACAATCAATTAAAACTATGTTACTCGGACTCTCCATTTTACCTCAATTACCCGTGTTGGACCCTCAAACACTCGAATATGGGTATAATACTTAGACACTTTATTTTAGTTCAAAAATATATTTTTTCACAAAATAGGCGAGTGGGACAGTTGGACAAGTACACATGTCGGACATGGGTACCCTATTCCGAGTAACATAGAATTAAACCACTTTAGGGTATTAAACAAAATTTAGCCCACCTAGCCTACACCGGTGGCAAGATCATCAAGTTTTGAGAGAACGGGAGGACAAAGATTGAAGTTAGAAAAAGGGGAAGGAGAGACTGAAAGTGGTGGAGGTGGTGGGGATGGAGGAAGAGTAAGACTGGGAGGAGTGAGATGAATGATTAGAAGAGAAAGGAAACAAATATGAGAGAGGATGATTGTTCAAAGGAGAAAAATTACTCTTGGGGAGCATGGTAACTATTATTCTTATTATAAGGGGAATAAATTTCCCTTTAATAATTCTATTAAACCAAACCATTCAAAACATCAGAAATTTATTTTTCCCTCTTTAAACTTCTCCTCCCCAATTATAGGCAATCCACGCAAAGTAGAGGGAGTGGACAGTAGCTACCAGGACCCCAAAACTGACAGCATTAAAAGCTGTCCTCCATCTTTGATTTTAACAGACACACCAATATATATATACATATATATATATATATATAATTAAATTGACAATGATGAAGACAAAATCAATTCAATAAAACCTCCATTCCCTAAAACATACTGCTTATTACAACAATCTTTAAAACTGAAGTCCATGTATTGGCAAGGTGCCAGAGCACAAAAATTATATCCTTTCATTTATTGATCAGGTAAGGATAGCTGTGTGGAACGGATGAGAAGAGGAGCTCAGAGCTCCCTTCTTAGTGCGCATAGGATATATTGAATCTACTATTCGCGCTGGGGTGCACTACTGTGTCACAAATCTAGAACATGGTGTAGTAGCGCACAGATAACAGAATAATTTCGGAAGTGAATAGATAGAAATCTCTGCCACACCATTCTTTGGTAACCCTTCATGCCAAATCATTTAAATAGTTGATAAGCAAATGATACATGATCAATGAAATAATATTGTGTACGTCTCCAAAACCACCAACAAAACGCGAAACCAGACACATAGTCAGCTTATCGAATGTAATTGCATCCAACTGAATTACCATCGTTAAAGCAACAAAACAATCCAACTAACAGATCAAAAGCCTATTGAAGAAACGTAATCATCAGAAATAATGCATAAAAAGGCTAATTTCTCAACATCTAAAAGGATGAGCCATAAAAATTAAATTTTCAAGCAAGATCCCTAAAATCTAAATGAAACATGCATATACTCAACACATTGTCCTGCTCTTACCCATGGCATTGTCTCAAACATCATAAGAAATTAACCACCAAAAACAAGAAACAATCAAAATAAACTATAAAATTTTAGCAAAATTAGGTTTACAAACATGAAAACAATCAAATTGGAAGAAAGGAAATAATCTCGTTAAAAAATAATTCAAGATCAAAGAAACTAAAGAGAGAGATCTGCAAGCACAAACCTGTAGAAGAGTGAAGAAGGAATGAAGATAAGAAAACGAGAAGTCGAAGCGATCTCGCAGTGGAAATCTCAGGCATGGCTTCCTTTGGTAGCTTTGGTAACAAAAATGTTCTCTCTCTCTTTCTATTCAAGGGAAAGGTTGGGGCGACGAAGAGTGAGTCAAATATTTTGGGCAAATGCAACTTGACAACTTGTGCTCGCGGTTTTCTTCTAATGTACTTCGGAATTTAAAGGGCAATATCATTAAGGTCTGCTTCATTCCACCTACAGAAAAAAAAATACTCCGTACTCTCCCCTTCGTGTTTTAATAAGTGTTAAATTTATCAAATGCGGTCGTGTTTTAATTAGTATTGTAATTTTCTTTTGGACAAAAAGTTAATTTTAATATTATATATATATATTTTTGGTAACTAAGAAATATATTAAAATCAATCAAAACTATACAAGCTACAATATACAATTGTACAACAAGTAAGCCTCAAACAACAAGGCTACTACATCACAAATCTAACTCAAACAAATCCTATAAACTGACAAACTAAAGAACCAAACAAGTCATATTCTAGTCTTGAGTTGACACAACCATCTGCAATCTGCATCTTTCCATTTGTGATTGATAAGTTGCTGCACTCTACTAGTCACCACTCTCTTGATAGCTCAAGCAAAAACACCAGAGAGCAGGACAGCTTAATGCCAAAACACATGGCTTCTAGCTAACCAAATATGGTAGACAGTGGCAGCCAGAACAGCCAAGAGCAGATTCTTCTGACTTCCTTTTCCAGCCCTTCCATTAGCTGGCCCTTGCTTCTGTTTTCTAGCCTGAACCTGCATGGTTAGGACATTGAGGATCAGAGTGTCCCATACCCCCACACACCTTGCATACAACTGACTTCCATTCATATACTATCTTCTACGTAAAACTCCTCCCATTCTCATCAAAAAACTCAATAACATCCGAGGACTGATCATTGAATTTCACTTCCACCATCCATCCAGCATAATCTAGCATCTCCTTAGTAGCAGTAGCTTTATCAGTTTTAACAAGCTTACCAATAAGAGAAGCTATTTTCATTAGAGAGTTTTGCCCCCAAAATTTGAGATCTAGACCCCTAGTCTAATCAAATAGGCACCTCAGAGACCACTTCCTCGGCTATATTAATACAAGGAAACCATTGCTTCACAACAACTGGTTTCTTATCAACCAGCACAGCTGCACAGGCCCTGCATTTAACGTCGTATCTCTCCCATCAATTGATTTAAAACGAACCAAAAACACTCCATTAGGCATCAATGAGACTCTATCCACCCCAAACTTCCCCCAAATTCGACATACAAATCCATTAATGACAAAATAGGGGGTGATTTAGGACTCAACACATAACAATTCATTGTAAATTTCCATAAATCAATTTCAGGTTGAACATCATCATTTGTAATCTGCAACTTCCCAGCATTACTATTACCCCCAACATTACTCCTACCATCCCCTGACAACTTAAATTAAGACCCTCATCAACAGTATCCTTGAACAAGTTATCCCTCCAATTTGTCCTGTAATTAGAATTAACAGTAGGAGATTAAAAAACAAGGGTTCACAAATCTAGGTTCATAAACTATCATCCAGTTCTAGGACTTGTAGAATCAGTAATCATCATCAAAGGGGTCGGATTATCAAAAACAATTACACTATCCCGTGGAGCTACTATTCGATTAAGCTCAAGATCAATGGAGTTCGAGGAATGAATTACATGAAGCCAATGATTGAACTGTTCACGGTGCTGCTCACGCTCCTCGTCAGTTACCTCCTTCACTGAAATCTCCTCCACCAAAGAAGAATCCAGCCACCTCTCTACAGTAACATCAACTGATGCAATACTCTGTTCCTTCTTCTCCGTATAACTTTGAGTCATGGGTTTCAATTTTTGATTCGATTTTTGCTTCTTCTTTGATTTAGAATTCGAATTCTTGTTCCCCTAGTTTTTCTTGCCCTTAGTTGTAGCTCAACCGAAGTTTGAAAGCACAAAAATGGCGAGTTCTAGAATTTCTCTCTCTACTTTTCTCTCTAGGATTTTCTCTATTATATCTTTCTCCTTTAACGTTCCTCACCTAAATTTACTAATACTTTTTTTTTTACTTCCTTTATTTTTATTTAATTAGATGCATCAATTTCTATTTATGGAAGTTTCAATTTAAATGCGTCACTTTCTTTTGTTGGTTAATAAATTGGAGGGATAACGTCAATTTCTATTTTTGGAAGTTTCAATTAGAGGAGAGGGAGCAAGCTTTGGACAAGGAGATGGCACCTCCTAGGGAGGGTACACCCCACAAGCCAAAGCATACAAACACACACAAACTATAAACAGAACACGGTAGCTAGCAATAAACAACAGAACAAACCAGAACTAGGCTAATTACAATCAGAGACTTGCAAACTAAATAACCACTGACAGTGCTTCCTCTTCCATCTGCAATTTATCAGCTGTCTGCATCTCTTTACAATATCTGCACGAATTGCCTTACAAATAGCTCTAGGGTGGATGATGACTTTCAGCCAGAAGGCTTTATTCCTTGCAAACCATATCTGGTGCACCACAGCAGCCATTGCAGCATAGCACACCTTCTTCTTAATGGGGTCTTGCAACATCTTACCCCACTGTTCCCAAGATTAATCTAAGTCAAAGAGCTTCAGAGATACCCAACCATGCACTAATGCTCTTCAAACATTTCCTGCTATAATCGCATTGAAAGAAGAGGTGCTTTCTATCTTCATCTTCATTTCCACACAATAGACATGTTCTGTCCTGGCATATACCCCAATCAGAGAGTATGCTTCTAGTTTTCAGCCTGTTTTGCATTGCTAGCCAGAGAATGAAAGAATGTTTAGGAATATTGAAACTATTCCAGACCCAAGGACACCAAGTGACCTCTTGTTGAGGACCTTGAAGCCACTTATACATAGTTGGGATGCTGTACTCTTTACTCATCTAGTCTTCACTCTAAAACCCTTCCTTTAGCTTGTCTTTGATTTTGCATAGCTTCTTCCAAGCCCAGCCTGCATTTTTCTTTGCCTTATACTCCCACCAATCCCCCTCTTTAATATAAACAGCATGCACCCACTTTACCCAGAGAGTGTCTTCCTTCTTAGCTATCTTCATTACTTTTCAATAAACTATTATATCTTTCTTTTACAATTTTTAAATATTCCAACTACACTACTTACCTCTTATTTATTTAAGTCATTTAAATTGCCTAAAACTATGTGGCGGTCAAAGTGTAACACTTATTGAAACACGGAGGGAGTAGTAGTATTCAAGAAAAATGTTCAGTTCAGTAAAAATATTTTAGAAACTTTCAAGAGAAAATATAATAGAAAATTGGTAAATAATTTAAGCTCATAAAAAATAATTTTAGTGCAATTAAAATAGTTTCAGTTCAATAAAATTAAGGAAATTTTGAGTTTTGTTACTACCAAAACACCCTGTTTTGACTTTTGCTACCTATTTAAAATTTTATTTTATTTTGCTACCTCCAAAAGTTACAAAATATAGCTTTTGCTCCACTTAACATAATCCGTTAGGACTCTGTTAAGTGGGGCCCATTATCTCATTAAATAATGATTTAATTTATTAAAAATAAAACACGAGAAAATACACAAATGCGTTTAGAGGCCAGTCTTGGTTTGTAACTCTCCCGTAGGACATCCAAAAAACCCCGAAATATTCGGCATCATATGTGGAGAGAGTACTTTTAAGATGAATTCACAAGACATACATGCCGTATGCGGCCCCGTATGCGCCTCAACAGCCATACATGTCGTATGGACAATCTAATATGCAGCCAACCCTCTTCGGGGGGCAGGCGGCACATAATGTCCAACCCTTGGACTGGCAGCTTCGAGTGCTAAGACTGGGGGAACAGCCCTCTGCGTTTTCCAAGGAAATAACTGAGGCTGTCGAGCCGGCCAAGTTGAAAAATGTGTTGGTAGGTGTCTATGATGGTACCACCAAACCAGAAGACACCAACCTAATGTATCTACAAGGGTTGGATAATGCCGCATGGTGTCGATGCTTCCCGACCACATTGAAGGGCGTCGCCCAACAATGGTTCGGCAACCTTCCAGTCGGATGCATCAATAATTTCAGGGCGCTTGCATACTTGTTTGCGTCTAACTTCTCAATGAACATCCCTGCGAAGAAAACAAGTCTTGACTTGGGAGCTATACAGCAGGGAGAGAAGGAAGGCCTACGATCATACATCAGGCGGTTTAACCTGATGAGAATTCAGATTCAAGGACTGTCTGATGAGGTGGCCTATATAGAATTTTTCAAAGGTCTGAAAGACGGGTCGGCCTTCAAGTTCGACCTTGTCAGGAAGAGGGTTGCTACCCTCCAAGAAACATTGATGGAGGCGGACGCCTATACACAGGCGACCGAGCTCTACAACATCAGTAAACAGTCGGACTCAAAGAAGTCTGACAAAAAAGAGAGTCGACCATTACAGCCAGATAAGAAAGAAAAGAAAAGAAAAGAAGTCTGGGTGGCTGATACTTCTGAACAGCCATCCCAGAAGAAAAAGAAAGAAACAAAAACGTACTCTCGGAAGTAGGAATTCAATAAAGACTGTCACTCCATCCTCATGGAGATTAAGGACCGGTCTCCATTGAGAAGCCGGCTACTATGAAAGGTTCCGCCAAAATTCAAAACAAAAATAAATATTGCCACTACCATGAGGATATTGGCTATGACACCAACGAATGCTTTAGTCTCAAGCGACTGTTAGACCATCTGGCTGATAAAGGAGTTCTCAAGTCTTATATTTTGAGGTCCAAGGTTACCTTGCAAACTAACCCTGGGCAGTCGTCTAAGAAGAAGCCTCACTCTGCTAATAGTTCGGATACTGATGAAACTCCGATCTATACAATAGCAGGCGAATTTGTTGGAGGCGGCCCAATGTTCCGGGGTGACAAAGACTACATCAGACGGCTCGACATCAACTCGGTCGACGAAGGGCAGGTGCCCAAGGACTTCTTCCCCGAAGTTGTAATTATTGAGGATGATAGGGAAAAAGTCAGGAGGCCGCATGATGACCCTGTTGTCATCGAATGCAAAGTGGCCAACCAAAGAGTTGGCCGAATCCTCACTGACACTGGGAGTTCGTCTGATCTCATGAGTCACAAGTGCCTGGCCAAGCTCAGGTACATGCCCGAGAGCAT